TATATACATAGATAGGTGCTGCCNGATTATAATTTTTGCAACCCGATATCCCGGGATTGTTAAAATGCTTCGAGATGGAATGCCCTAGTACATACATTCCTATATACATACATAGATAGGTGCTGCCTACCCCGTAGCGAATGTCATGCATTAGTCACTTAAGAGTCTTGTACGGAAAAGTTACGTCTTAAATGACTGGGCTCCGTTTGTATGGAAGTCGTTCATGACTTTTTCATATAAATGGTAATTTCGTCGTTGATGTCATCTGCATGACTTGGTCATGCAGTGATCATTAATGACATTCAAGCGACAATATCTTGCAATGGACTTTTTATAAGTGACCGCTGCAAGACATTGTCTGTTATAAGTCTTTGATAGGAGTATACCTGCATGACATTGTCACCAGTGTCATTGTCAGCTATATGTCGTTTAGGCAAGTGCGACGATGTCACTAAATCCTCATTAGTGACGATGTCACCGGTGACCATTTTCGCTATGTACATAAATCCATNCACTAAATCCTCATTAGTGACGATGTCACCGGTGACCATTTTCGCTCCTGGGTACCTATGTATGTACATAAATCCATACTAGGGTGGCCAGATGCGCTGATTTAACCCTTCGATTTGTGAGAAGGTCCCTAGGGACCTTTTCGTATTTCATGTTCATCTTTTTGTTCAATGCATTTTTGAAAAGAATTTATACATGTATTCCAAGAATAAATTAAGCTGAATCGTTTAAAATAAGTTTCGAAGGGATACGGGATCACGTTCGAGTGTTATTGAGATTTCAACATATATAGTACGGGGATTAGTGACAAGGTCCCTAGGGACCTTGTACAATTTTAGAAGAAATAACAAGTTACTTGTCTTCATGTTTTGATTTTTTTTTCACTTGTTCTTCAAATTATTTCATTCCTAATATATATGCAGGACGTTAATTTCATCAAAAGACAACATAAATACCAAAGAAGTTGCACATGTACAGTCGAAACATCGAGCAACTCTTTGTAGGTCCCTAAGGACCTTCTCACGAATCTAACGTCATCGGCACTGTCACTCATCGGAGGGTTAATCAGTACAAGTGCTGATTTTTTTCTATTGAACTGATTTTTAAAAGGNCGATGTCACCGGTGACCATTTTCGCTATGTACATAAATCCATACTAGGGTGGCCAGATGCGCTGATTTAATCAGTACAAGTGCTGATTTTTTTCTATTGAACTGACTATTGATTGATTGAAATCAGTACGCAAAATCTACTGATTTTTTGAGTTTGTAATGATTTTGTACTGATTTTTACATTTAAGAAATAATATTGTAAATTGGTGTAATTGACATTTACTTGAGGTTTACATGTTCAAAACAATGGTTTTTGACAACTCATACGTGTGAGCAGATTGAAAGCATTAATTAAATTTAAACCATTATTAAAAAGGTGTCAGCTTGCAATTGTTTCGTTTCTTAGGATTTGGCAAAATAACAAACTGTTTGGATTCAACCCAACCCAACTTCATGACTTGCAGGTTTTACAGGATTTACAGAAAAAGCTGGTTTCGCCATTAATAAATCTTATGAAAGGTGGTGGTGAGATAATCATATATTAAGTACACTGAGAAGATGACAATAAGTGATAATCTTTTGATTATAATTCAACTTTCACTGAGAAATCGGCTGTCAATATTTCAAACTTAAGACGACTACTGATACGGTGCAATGTAAGTTCTAAAAATTTGGAAAAGGTGCAAACTACCGACTCTTGGATATGATATATGTAGCTTTACTTTGATTTTTGATGTTCGACCACCTGTAATTTTACATACATTGCATATACACATTTAACACTATTAAATTTCATTCGTACTTGAAAATTCGGTAATATACCTTTTAGTCAACATTTTAATATGAATGTTGAATTTAATAAGCACACCAACTAAATATGTTTCAAATTTGTAGCTTAAAATATGCAAATAGATTCTGACTCGAGCAACGTCTTCTACTCAAACTGAATGGGCTAAAATTTTTTTTTTAATTTGCTAAATTTTCTAGAAAATTTGAGACTTCAACTCATTTGTCTTTTGTTATAGAATTAACTATATTTTTATAAAAAAATTAAATCAAGTAAGGAAAGAAAAAATTTTCAAAACCTGTCAATACGTTTTACTACTATTTTCGTGAGACAGCTTTACATACATATGTATGTAATATCTTTGATTTGTTTTAAAGTAATGAATTTTTATATTGATAATACTATATGTATTTAAAAGTCTTTTAGTTATTTTTTGTTAAATTAATGCGCTGTTATTTGGTTATTGCAGTATATTTTGCTTTGCTGCCTCTATGCTTAAGTGCACATTTAAGATACCTACCCCAAAATGCGCATCAAAAGCATTATTTTTAACATTTATAAGGAAACTGCTCCGATAGATGCATTCAACATACCTGCACATTGGCGATACCTGCCTTAAAAATTGTGCGACTAGTATCAATTATCAATGAAAGTATTACGTTTACCTGCACTGGCCCTACAATTACCTAATTTTACAACCTTTTATTTATTTTGCTCATCTCGCAGAACAACGAAAATGGCTATCAATTTATGTAGTTATATAGATAATTAGATAACATTCGGTAAAAATTTCGCTTGCAGTAATTTCAACATGGTAAGTGCTCCGCCAATATTTGGTTTCATAGGAATTCGGATACCTTCCTCATTGAAGTAGTAAAAAAAATTCGCTTAAGTGCCTTTTTCGGTTACGTGCACAAGTTTTTCGTGCAAAGAAGGATGTGCAGCTAAGCAAAATATACTGTATATTGTTAATAATAAAAAATTCGCTTAAAAATGAGCTGATTTTTATGGCTTTGTACTGATTTTTGATCCCAACTGTACTGATTATGTCACTATAATATCTGGCCACCCTAATCCATATATACATACCCCGTAGCGAATGTCATGCATTAGTCCCTTAAGAGTCTTGTACGGAAAAATTACGTCTTAAATGACTTTGGGCTCCGTTTGTATGGAAGTCGTTCATGACTTTTTCATATAAATGGTAATTTCATCGTTGATGTCATCTGCATGACTTGGTCATGCAGTGATCATTAATGACATTCAAGCGACAGTACCTTGAAATGGACTTTTTATAAGTGACCGCTGCAAGACATTATCTGTTATAAGTCTTTGATAGCAGTACACCTGCATGACATTGTCACCAGTGTCATTGTCAGCTATAGCTCTGATCTATCATGAATCATGAAAAGTGTCAAGCAATCACTGGGTTACGTTTTTACAGGAAAAATGGTTTTTTTGTTCCCGTACTTTTTGTTGTTACTCACTTTTTACTCTCACTTCAGAGAGTAATTTTGCTGTTTGACAGTTTTACAGGTTTTTTCATGAAAAGTATTGGATCAGAGCTTATATGTCGTTTAGGATTCACAGCAAGTGCGACGATGTCACTAAATCCTCATTAGTGACGATGTCACCGGTGACCATTTTCGCTACTGGGTATATCAATATCTACATAAATATATATATATATGTATACATAAATGTCAATGCGCTCAAACGCGCATAAAATGTTTGTACATATCTACATGTGTATATAGTATGTACATAAGTACTTATAAACACCTGCGGCCAGGTACATCTTAACACTGAAAATTTAAACGCAAAAGCTGCTCAGACTTGAATGTTCGGGTGATGTTTTCTTTCCATTTACAGGGTCCTTTACTTTTCCATTATTGTGCCACAAAGTGCCAAATATATTAGGGTTTTTCAGGATGTTGTGGAAATGGTCTGGGATATCCAGTTGGGATTGCATTTGCAAATTTTATGCTTGCTGCCATGGCCACCGTTTGCATTTTATTGTTGTGAGTTTACAAATGCGACGAATATGCAACTGCAGGAGCATATGCGGAAGATCCTGAACAGCCCTATTGTGTTATTGCAACGAACTCAACCTGGCATAAATAAAAGAACGAAAACTACACCGGCACACAAAACAAGTGGTGTGTGCTTTTAATCAGGCCCACCTACCGAAATGTATTTTGCAAATTTGTTTCGATTTTTTTACATTTTTCGCAATTAACTCGAAATTTAGGAGTTATAATAGTAAAATGGCCCCCAGATCCGTATTCAGTGGGTCAAAATACATATCGGAAGGTGGGTCTGGTTGAAAGCACACACCACTTGTTTTGTGCCGATGTTTTAATATCATAAAGAATGTCTGCGCCCTAAACCATCGCACGAAATCTGTATGCTTATTTACAAAGTATTTGCTGATTTATCATTAAGTTTGTGTTTTGTAATGAAAAAATGTATACTAATGTTTACTTTACTCACATATAAACTAATTTTCTGGGCTTCAGGTAATGATAAGGGAACTATTTTGATTAACTGAGGCCGCAGAGTAAGAGGACATTAAAAATACTTTCTGAAAGAGAGATTAATACCAATAATAATATTTTGTAAAAAACTTTTGCAAAATTCTGATTGCGCCACTTCTTTACTGTATACGAGTCGTTGCTTCGGCTGAAGATAGATCGACTCCTTGCAAGTGTTACTAGTTTGTTAGCTTTTAGTCCAGTTTATGATTTCATAGAAGATTTATAAAAATAGGAAAAGGATTTTAAAATATGGAAGCAAAAATAAATAAATTCAATTTGCCCAAATTACCTTAAATGAACTGAATACAAAATACTCTATGCATGTATAAATATGCGTGTTAAATCTTAAAAAGCTGGGCACAGGAGGAACCGCAAAAATTGTAAAAATATGCAAAATCTTAAGTGGTGATCTATGTGTGGCCGCAGGTGTATATGCAAATGCAATACGCATAAAATAAGTAGATACTTATTATGTGTGTACATACACGTGTATGTACATATATGAACGGATACAATTGTGCACAAGTAGATATATGTATGTACATATACATATATGTAGGTACATATACATATATGTATATGTAAATTATTTCTGCCAAAGCAAGGCCATTCCTAGCTGGCAAGCAATTTTTACACGCTTCTCGGAATTTCCGACGCGCTGCTGCCTTGAAAACGCCAACTGAGGTAAGCGAATGGCAGATTAAACAGACAGTCAAAAAACATCTCGTCAATTCCTGGAATACCTCGCGCGGATTACATACGTACATACATTTTTTTGCAGAAATCCACAAAACTAAACTGAATTCCTAAAATTCAAGTGTTTAAAATGGAATTCTTTTTCAAATCCCCGGCACAAGAGTCAAATGCAATAAGCCAGCAGCATCAATCGTTCATTCAATACTCACGTTCCCCATTCGAGTTTCCATCAACACAATACGAGTCGTATCAGGAAAATGGCACAAAATATCTTAAAAGCTTGAAACCCATTCCTGAACCATTGCAACTGCAGCTAAACGCATGCGCAGGAGAGGTTATTAAAAACAAATATAATTAGCACCTAATTTTTTCTTTATATGTAATTTGTTACTTTATGCTGTTTTCAGATTTTTATCAGTGGCATACCACCGGAGATAAGAGCTGAGGCCATTGCAGAAATTGCTGCCCTCCTTGGTGAACTTTATATTTTACGTTATAAGGTGAATTTTTCAGGAGACTCGCGGGGGTTTGCTTATCTTCAATATGTAAATCCTTCGCTGATGCGGCTGGCTATTATTCGGTAATAATGAATACCACGCCCTCTTCTACATATGAATGTAGATACTAATAATTTACTCATTGATATTCGCAGCTTGCCGGCACTTTTTCGACAGCACTCGCTCCCCATGATTCGGGTTCGTCAGTCTCGTAATTCCTCTAAACTTTTATTGAAAAAAACTTATCGTTTGTCACCGGAGAGTGTTTACGAAACTCTGCGTCAGCTGATTACCTTTGATAAACTAATTGGACACGAAATCTTTCCCGGCTATTTCGAGTACCAGATCATCTTTAAAAGTAATGAAGAAGCCGTTCATGCTCGACGTGAGCTTCTGCGAACTATCTCTAAATTTGGAAGAAATGCTATTGTGGTATGGGATACTACCAATGAGGTAGTCGATAGTGCAACTCCAAGAGGTTTGGACCAAGATTGTGAAACAGCACGGAATGAGAGTGACCCTACCCTTTTACCCGCGGGTGTTTGCACCCAGGAGTATGCTCGGGCACCGTTAATCGCCTCACCGCTGGTTTCTATCAACGGAGATGAACAAAGTGTTAAAGTTTTTGAGCCCATTAAAGGCTGGAGTTTCACATTCTAAGAGTTCCCTTAAAAGTGCACCTTGAATTCCGCATAGTGGAATTAAAAATATCGTTGGGGTATTTCGTAATAATTTCAAATCAAATAATAATTTGTTTACCAAATTACAAGAGGCTTCTAATGATTTCCTTAAATGAACGGTGCATAGTTTCGCCACCTATATGCACACTTTTTTTTATTCTCGTTGCTACGAACTTTCCTTAATTTTAAGTTTTATCTTCAAAAATTATGTATTTCTATTTATAAGTGCACGTAAGTTGGTAAATGATGTGAAATAAGTTTTGGAAACGGGCAAAACATGCAATATGTGTATTAATAAAAATGAACATCCGTGAACTTAAATAAGTATGTACATATGTACAAATGTCACCTGGCATTATTTTTAAAGTACATGGGATAGAGGGTGTATTCGAGCTCCAATTAATGCGGCAGTGTTACTTTTTATGAAAGCAACACGTTTCACGCGAAAATTTGGGCGGTTCTGCTTACATTAAGCGTTCGAGGAACAAAATTTTGCCAATCAGTTGTTTATCATTGGCAAATCAAAAGCATTATAAACATTTCTAGAGCGTTTCAGAATATTTTCAGCTTAGCGTCAACACATAATCAAGAAAGCAACAAGGCTGCAATATTGCATTACTACGTAGCTCAAACACACCCATGCATACATACATACATATCGTCGCCTGGGTAAAAGATTGTCGTCATTTTGCCGATTTCTAGTCAAAGAAGCAGTTTTAATTTTTTTAAAGATCTTTCGATTGGTGTTATCAGTTTTGGGTATCTCCTTTTGTATCCGAGATATTGAGTAACGTTTTGTCGTACACATTTACAAGTTCGCAAGCGACTCGGTCAACATTTTGTTGTATGTGGGTAAAAGATTGTCGTAAACGTCATTTTGACTATTTTTAGTTAAAGATGCGGTTTTATTTTTTTAAATAAGATCTTTCGTTTGGTGTTATCAGCGACTCGGGTAACATTTTGTTGTATCGTCGCCTGGGTAAAAGAATGTCGTAAGCGCCATTTTGACGATTTTTAGTTCTAGATGCAGTTATATATTTTGAAATAAGGTCTTTCGATGGATGTTATCAGTTTTCCTTTAGTTTCCAAGATATTGACCACAATTTTTTCGATAATTTAGTAAAAATGGTAATTATCTAGTTGGGCTTTCAACACCCAAAATTTTTGTTTAATAACTTTTGATCGGGTTAATTTCCGCATTCGGATACTTGTTACTGGGGACCAGGCGCGTCTAATGGTACCAAAATTTGGACCACTTTTGGGGGTTGAAAGCCCACCTAGATAATTACGGATTGTAACCCTCACTTCCTTCTCCTTTCTGTATTGCCATAAAAAGAAGCCGAAGTATTTCTATTTCTTTTTAATGGTAGCCCATTTCCAAAATTTTTACCAATTTGGGGGGGTTAAAAGCCCACCTAGATAATTGCCGTAAAAATTTAGTTAGTGATGCCGTCATATTAAACTAATCAATATCTTAAAAATGGCGTTCCCTATTTTTGGATATCTCCTTTAGTTTCCGAGATATTGAGTAAAATGTGTCGTTAATTTAGTAGATATTTTGATCACGTTTTTTCGTATTTCATACAAAGTGGCTGCCAAATTGTGGACAAATTACGCTTACGACAAAATTTTACTAAAGAAAATCCTTCATATACTCAAAACTAATTAACAATAAACATTAAAAATTAAATAATTTAAAAATTTTGTGAACTAGTAACATTTTCAGAGACTTTGGAGAAAATCTATCTTCGCGTTTTTGAGAAATTGCATTCCAAACTTCAATCGCGATTTCCCACAACCTGCCGAAATTAACATACGACAATCTTTTACCCAGGCGACGATATACATATCCACGGTAAAATTACCGTAAAAGATTGTCGTAAGTTACTTTCGACAGGTTTTGGGAAATCGATGTTAAAGATTCAGTCACAATTTCTCAAAAGCTGAACGATCGTTTTTATCAAATTTTAATGCTAGATTGTACATACTATTTAAGGTATAAAACTACATTTTCTTAAATTTTCAGTAACTCATATAGCTTTTACAGCCACTTTTTTATAAAATCATTTTGCCGTATGTTACATTTTCTCTTTAAACGCTAGCCAGCTGTATGAGATACTACAAATCACACACACAGCAAGTAAGCAAAAGGCTGAAATTGTTGGAAATAGTTTTTGCTCGTACGCAAAAAAAAATAATTCTAATACACCTGAGATATAAATTAATGAGTAAAAATCAACAAAATATTGAATAATTTGTCAATAAGAGTTGCCGTAGCACATACGACTGACTATCAATTGTATAGGGTTTGTCTGATTTTGTCGTATGTACCATATAATTTGTCATATAAGACAATATTTTAACAAGTAATCAATTTCATAAAACTTTATGACAATTTTGTTATATGTGAAATTCTTCGTCACATACAACAAAATGTTAGCCGAGTCGCTTGCGAACTTGCAAATACGATAAAATTTAACTCAATATCTCAAAAACTAAACGAAATATCCAAAAACTGATAACACCAATCGAAAGATCTTATTTAAAAAATAAAACTGCATCTTTAACTAAACATCGTCAAAATGACGTTTACGACAATATTTTACCCAGGCGGCGGTATATTCACGATAAATATCCAGGTATAGGTATCCGTAAAAATTACCGTAGTTCCACGGTAAAAATTTACTGTGGATCCACGGCAATTTCTGAAGATATGTATTTCGTGGATTATGTGTTGCCGGAGAAGTGGGAAAGAACTATATATGGAAATTTTTACCGTGGATCTACGGAAATTTATACCGGATATACGGTAATTTTACCGTGGATAAACGGTAATTTTCACCGTGGATATACGGTAATTTTTACCGTGGATCTATGACAATTTTTGCCGTGGATATACGGTAATTTTTACCGTGGATATACGGTAGTTTTTACCGTAGATTCACGGTAAAAGTTACCGTGGCGAATGTATGTAGACACTCCCAATTATTTAATAAATTGTTGTGGGTTTAAAACTATGATATTCTTTACCACAAGATGATGGTTTTTAGAAAAACGCCCAACCCTCTGAGGCCCTCTGAGAGCCAAGTTATAACAATTCTTTAACCAAACTTCGAAACTGCTGTAGTACTTTTTACTCCGAACTTAGAAAAAATTGCGTAAAATGTCGAATGAAATTTCGAAGTTTAACTTCAGAATCGTAATAATTTAGCTCTCAAAGGGCCTAGAGACTTCTACCTTAGCTTAATTTAAAGATTTTGAATGACAGTAAAACTGACTTGTTGTTCGAGGAATATAAAGTTGTGTGAAGAATGCACAGCTGCAGGCAAATCATAAGAAATGCAATATATAATGCATTTTTCAAATTGAGGGGTTGAAATAATTTTTCGTTTTATAAACAGTGGGTTCGTGTTTCTCTTCTCAAAATCTATAATAAAAGTATAATAAAAAATACAAAAAATTTTATAAAAAGATAATAAACCGGTCAAAATATCGCAGTTCTTTTATTTTGTGGACTACTTTATAGACTGCTGAGTGGAATATGGACCTAACTCGGCAGCCAGCTCGAAAACGCTTTATCTCAAAAAACTTTCCAAGAACGCCCTATTTCAAAATTTGGTTGAAGAACGCCCTATTTCAGAATTCGTTTCAAAAACGCCCTATCTCAGCTGCCGATTCATATATATATCAGCACATTTTCAATACATTTTGAAGTGAGATAGGGCGTTTTTGTAAGGCATTCTGAGATAGGGCGATCTGTAACCAAATTCTGAGATAAGGTGTTTTTGAATAAAATTCTGAAATAGGGCGTTCTTGAAAAGTTTTTTGAGGTAGGGCGGTTTCGAACTAGATAGATCAATCTTCCACTCCACAGTCGATATGTATGTATATTAGACTGCATTAGTCCCCATACAAAAAAAAATCGGTACTGTTTCCATTGGAATTATAAAGTCTATTATATTTTAAGACATCCACCATAATATTTCGCAAAAATATTAAGATTTAAGCGTGCTGGACCGATTTGAAAAGACCTCCAAAAATGGAGTTNAATATTTCGGAAAAATATTAAGATTTAAGCGTGCTGGACCGATTTGAAAAGACCTCCAAAAATGGAGTCNTGATTGTGCCAAAACAGGATAAATTGTGCTAAAAGAGCTTCTGTGAATGAAAGTGCCAAAATGGTACTATTGTGCCTACTTTTCCATCACTGGTGGCAATAGACGTGCTTATCTCTTCCGTGCGCTTGGTGGGTACTTATTTAACCCTCTCGACCCGGATGGTACATATGTGTACCACTTAAAGTTTAAACATCCCTAAAAGTTCCAAATTTAATGTGTATGGGTTGTGAAATGTACCTTATCGTCTGTAAGCTTTTCTGAATGCATTCTTAAAGGTTCCGTTAAATTTTAATAAAGCTTGTGTTCACAACACTGTTATTTGTGAGTTGCGACGCAGCCAAAATGAAGTGCGTAGTTGGTTTTTACTCGATATTGAGTGCTGAGGTGCCGAAAATATTCAAAAAAAAACTTAAAATTTTACGAATGTTTACAATTGTGGCGGGTAAGTATTTATTAAAAAAATTTTTTTTTATGCTAATTTTAGTATATGGTACCTATATGTACCATTCGTCCGATATAATGGTACACATATGTACCAGTAGTCCGTTGAGTGGTAAATAATATGATTCCCCGTTTTGAAGAAAACTGTTCGTTTTTCCAGAAAATGGATCCTGAATATATTCGAAAAATTCTGAAAGATGAAGCTGATAGTTCTAGCAACTTAGAAGACCTTTCTGGAGGATGCTCTGAAGAATTTGTACGAAGTGGTGTCTCTAACTCCAGCGATAACGAATAATCAGCAGACGATAGAAGCTCTGAATAATTTGTACCAACTGGTGTCTCTAGTTCAAGCGATAACAAAGATTTAGCACATGACATAGTGAATGAGGTGAATGAGGCTACCAAGGGAGTACTTGTCTGTAATGAACCAGCTAGCAATGACTTTATTTCCAAACCTGTCGCGTCGAATATCAATGCCATTTCGAGTACTGCTGACGAGGATTTCGTACCTAAACCAATTTTTTAGAATCCTCATAACCTCGTAAATAAGTGAAACCAATGCTGAGGAAATAAAAACAATTGCTGGATGCATATCATAGGTAAATTCTATGTCAAACACATTTTTAATTATAACCGTCCCCTTCTTCTTCAATTATATTTACAAAGATTAACAAAATATGAAGTACTATTTGTTATATTTATATCACTGTGCCTGTTATTTCTAACTGGTATAGTTTGTTTTACTGGG